TCGCGACGCGAAGCGGCGCGGCGCGGCGCGGCGCGGTGCGGCGCGGCAGGGTGGGGCGCGGTGCGGCGCGGCGGGGGACGCGGGGGCCGCCGGCCGGGAGCTCGGTCAGGCGATAATAATTCTCACGTGTGTGCCGCGCCGCGTTGTCAAACGACACCGTGACTCCGATTCGCCGCGTCGCGCGCGCCTCGGGCCTATGTAGGTTAAAGACACGCAGTTACGGCCGCGCGGCGTTGCGCAACCCGGAACGCCCGGTGCCAGTCGCACTCTCTCACGGGTTACGGCTAGCCGATCGCGGGGAAATGTCGCCGCGCCGCGCGTCGCTTTCTCGCCGGCTGCTCTCGACGGCGAGAGGAGACCGACGGTCGAGCGCCGCGTGCGGGCGGACTGCCGTCTCGGGTTTCTCGTTCAACGGCGCTCGTTCCACCACGTGCCCGTGAGCGATCCGCAGGATGATGCCCTGGAGGCATAACGCGCGCGCGCGCGCACTCTCCTTTCTCTGTCTCTCTCTCCGTTCTGGTCAGACGCGGTCGAGGCGCGCGAGCAAGACGGCGAGAACGCGGGGGAGGCGCGGGAGGCGAGAGTCGGGGAGAGAGAGAGAGAGAGAGAGAGTGAGAGAGGAAGGAAAGAGGCGGAGGAGAGAGAGAGGAGGACGACGCGCTGGTACAGTCGCGGCCAAAAGCGCGCCGCGTGACATAGATTCGATCGCGACGGCGATTTTTACGCGAGAGACCGCGTGCGGTCGACGGTCCGCGCCCGCGACCTCGGCGGCCGGGTCGGCCGTCAAACCGAGGGGCCGACCGGGCGCGCCGAGACGTCGTCGGCCGGCGAACGCGGTCACTGAACCAGTTGCCGTTTCGACCCTGACACTGCCATTGTCCCCGCGGGGGGCGTCGTATCGCGCGATCCGTGTCAGACGCAGCAATATTGGACCGCCGCCGCTTTTCCCACGCGGCCCGTCGGTATCCTCGCGGCCGACTTACCCCTGTCCGAGGACTCCATCGTCGCCTCTTGGCGAACGCTGCGCTCCCGGCTCCCGGTGTCCCGTCGCAAGGGCCTCCTAGGGTGCACGGCTCGCCTACGCGCGGCGCCGATCTCGCGCTTCCACGGCGCACGTGGAGAGATAGTCCCGCTCGTGGCTCACCGCGGCTGCACGCTCGGCGCACGGCTTGAAAATTTCTCACCACGGTATAAACATGGCCGGTCCGCGCACGGCCGCACGGCTCCCTGGCCTGTCACAATCTCGCGCGCGCGCTGAGGAGGGGGGTCGTTGAACCTTATCGCGGGTGCCGTAGACGGCGTCGCGGAAGGGCACCGGCCGCGCCGACTTTTTTTCCGGGCCTCCGGGGAAAAACGGCGTAGCTCGCCGCGGGCCTACGCGGTGGGCGCGACCTAAAAATAGATCACCAATTCGGCGGATTGTTTTGACTAATAACGCGCTTCGCAACCTACTCGCCGGTGGCGCCACTGCGCGGCCGAGGCGAGCCGGCGGCGTCGGCCGCGCCGCGCCGCGGCACGCCGGGCGGCGCGCCGTGCGCCTGACTTCCCGTAGTGCGCGTGCACGTAACCGCTGTCGAGGGCCGCGAGTCGAAACGGTCTGCCTCCCGGTGCTCGGTACGGCGACCGCGCGCGCTTCACCATGTCCGGGAACGACGCGAAGCAGGCCCTCAGAAAGCTGGACTTTCCCTACTGCGCCAGGGAAGCTCTGTGCAGAATCGGTACGCGTGCTATAGGTTATCTCGACTGTTTATCCTAGCTCTGTATCTCTCGAGACTCGTCGGCAGTTCTTGCGAACAGTCGCAATGTCGAAATTAAGATTAAAGTCCAAATTGTTCAAATTGAATTAGACAAGCGGGAAACGCACAGTCCTGACTTGGACGATTACACGATACGAAAGGGTAGGATTTGTTCGCTCTCGATACACCCGTGCCAACGATAATCGTACGATCAAAGTGCAATACTTACACATTGGAATGCCTTAATATCACGCGGCTGAAACGTATAGGTCTACACGCGATATCTTGGCCCTCTCTGAGCGATTTATTAAGTTTTCTTCGTTGTTCATTTTTCAAGAGGTACTCTGCTGCAGGCCTGGCAAGCAGGTGGACCTGCAAATGGATCTGATATCCGAGTTTGTGTTCGGGGAGGTGGAGAAGCGGAAGAAACGCAACATGACGATGGCGATACAGGAGCTGCAGCTGATAGAGATCATGAGCGACTTCTTCCAGAGCCCGGGCGGCAGCCCGGCGGTGCGCAATGCCCTCTTCCTGTCGCTCTTCCCGGCGGACAGTCCCAGGCACAAGATCCTAGGTAACCTGGTATCGTTGGCAATCGCTACGCAAAACAAGGCGGTCCTAAACGCAGCTGGCATTTGGATGCAGCAGCTGGGCTCCACCTCGCCGCAGAGCGTAGGACTGGCGAGGCACGTGCTCAACGACTATTTTGTGCTCACCCCGAGGTCCATCGACAAGCTCAAGCAGCTGCCCGTGCTCGCGCCGCACTTCACCGCCAACCTGCTGACGGCGATAGGCGAGGTGTACGAGGACAAAGATCCGTCTACCGAGCTGCTCAGAATGGTAGGCGAGTGGATTGACGAGAATTCGAGCTTGCTGTTGACACCTCTGATGGACAATCCGGCGTTGCCCACTGGCGGGATCCCGATGGCACCGATAACGCCGATAGCGGGCTTGTTCAGGTCATTTCTTACGTCGCTTTGCACAGAGAGGCGAAAGACAAAAGCGTCCAACGTCCAATTATTCCTCTCCTTTATTTACAGATGGTGCATACTGAGTCCTCTGCGTTGTAACAGCACCGCGGAGAGCACGGAGAGTCTGGAAGAGTCGCGGAAATTTTATTCAAAGGTCCAACAGTTGCTCATGGACTCGGTGCTGCGGCTCAACAACAGCGGCAGCAACAAGCACGCGATCTCGGCGCAACATCTGGCGTCTACCACCCGTTTGTTGACGGCGAATCTGCAAAATCGTCCGAACGTCGACACGCCGTCGCGCGAACTGGCCATGGAACGGCTCGCGCAAGCCGTCAGCGCAGCCATGTCTGCGAACTGCATTTACGGAAATAAGCGTACGCGTCTCATATGTATACATAATGAAATGTGTACTCGCACGCATGTATTAAATATAACATTTATAACGTTGATTTCAGAGGAACTATTAGCCCTTCTGCAACCGTTGTCGTATCAGCACTTTTTGATAGAATGGACATTGCAAACTTATGCAACTAAGGCAGCCTGAGACGAGGATACGACAGCGACGGCGATAACGATAATGTAATTAATTTGATTAACGATATTCTAAGTTATTACTATGTTTGTACATAAAAAATGCAATTACTAGACTATTGTATATAATTTGTTTCGATAAGAAATAAAGAGTGTAATGAAACACAATAGTTTTGAATAATTTTACAATCGTATCCTAATTTCTACCCTTGTAATGATTACATCTCTATAATTTTCCTATTGTATTCCTATTCACAGCGGCTAATTTATATCCTTATAATTATTTGAACAGAATGGTGTAGCAAGTATGTACAACAATACTTTATACACTAGGACTGACACCTACCCATATGAATTTAGGCACAAGTAGAATACATATGCATTTTCCATACATGTATATGCAAAATGTACACTAGGAATCACTTATTTCCACATGAATTTGTGCACGTGACAACACATTTATACACTTTTCATATGCGTACATGGAAAATGTATATGTGTTCTCAGGGGTGTCCAGCAAACACAATGAAAAAAATCCCCTGACTTTTCCAGGTTTTCCAGAAGTCGGAATTAATTTTTCCCTGAACGTTTAGCGTAACTTTTTTCAAGATGCATCATTTGCGTACATTTGTATGGTAAATCAAGTGAATGTTAAATGTCGAAGTCCTTGAAATATTTTTCCCGGGAAACAAGAGTCCGGAATTTAAAAAGGTAAAAATTTAAATTGAAGCAATTATACCATCTATGTAGAATACATTGTGTAATAGGAACGAACATATTACAAACCATTCCAACCATTTATGATACCGTACGTGATCATGTATGATGCCTTCGTTTTGCTTAACTGCATTTTGTTTGCAACTTACTAGATAGTATTGTTTAGTAATTCATCTTTTTTTATAGTTTTTTCTCAGTTGAACACATTGAAATGAAACAACACGACGATGAAAATATAAATTACCGACCACGCTTATAAATAAATTGATGTTTAGCAAAACAGGAAATTAGTATACTGAGAGCCAAAGAGAAGTTTATTTTCTAGAAACTTTAAATTATGCAGAAAAAATGTTAAACGATGTAAAAAAATCCAGATAAATAGTAAAATTTCCTGACTTTTCCCTGACAATTCCCGGTTTTTCTGATTTCCCTGACCACTGGACACCCTGGTTCTACATGTGCTAAATTCGTACGGAAAGGCATCAATTTCGGAAATACAGTCTATCACGCGAGAGATTGTAGCTCTTGCTCACGAATATGTGCAGTGGCACATTATTAGAACAATGGAATGATACGCACGAATATCTATGCAACAATACTCCGAAATATTCTGAAAACTTGTTACAAGACGTCGGACAACCTTTCTGACCATAACTGTACAAGCGATTAATGAAAATAGACATCGAGGAAATAGGTAGCTTCGTACAACGACAAACGAATGAAGGACCGCTATTAATATTGCGATAACAATGATTCCTATAATTTTGATATCGTGTCCCAATTCATATCCTTATAGTTATTTAATTATTATCCCTACAATTTTACAATCATGTTCCTATCTACAGCTACATACCTAAAACGGCTTGAATGTCCGCTTTTGTTTCAGCTCCTGCAGTCTTTTCTTGTCCAGCTCAAACTTTTCCCGCAACTCCGCTAGATCTGAAAGCAAGAATCGCACAGATTAAGCGCAGTTCTAAAATGAAAGATCACGCCATGGGGGGAGTCTTGCGACGCGCGATTGTACACTTACTCTGCTTTTTCGCCTCGCGAATTTGAAAGGTATAAAAGTTCAGCAGTTGCTTCTTTTTACGCTCTTCCTTGCCCTTCACCTTGCTGATGGTGGACTCCTTTCTAGTCGGCGCAAATTCTCCCCTCTTCTTTGCACCTGTTACTGTAATCCAGCCGTCGTCGTCGTCGTCCTCTGCTTTGGCTTGCTCAAGGCGATCTTTTATTCTCTTATCGTAGGAGGCTATATACTCCTCGATGTTTGCTTTTATCAACTTTTCATCGTACTGTACAGTTGCGTTGTACTCGGCACACCATTCTGTAAATAATCAAACACGCAGATGTAGACATGCGAGAGACAAGTTATCTCTATGACGTTAAAAAGTACAGCTCACTTTCTAATCCCGTGACGCACGCGTCACCGCTCAACGAGATGACACAATCTGTTGACAGTTTGAGTGCTTTATTCAGTGAGGACTCTGTCTTGAAAACAATATGTCCAGTCTTGAATCCTTTTTCGGTCGTAAATATGACAGATTGTACGTCGCCGCAGAGACTGGCAAACGCGTGTCTCAGGCAATCCGCGGTTGCGTACGGCGGAACGTTCCGCACGAAGAGAGTCCGATTCCGGGGATACTCCGGTTCCTCCTTTTTCGCCGAGTGTTCTTTGATGAACAGCTGATGTTTGTCCGAGCTGTCTTCGGCGAAACGAATCCACAGCGCTGCGATTTGAAGCAACTCCGTTTAATGCGAGTCGGGATAGACGCATTTTCACGGTATACTGTAGCAACGACTTACTTTTATAGCTTCTCGAAGCATTCTGTGCTTTTGTGACCATCTTTTCTTTCGCTTGATCTCACTGGGTGTCCGAATCTATTCATAGCATGTGAAAAATCAAAGAGGATTAGACTGAAAGTGGACACGCATATAAAGATATCAAAAGAGATTGATTAAATGTTTAGAGTAACATAACTAAACTTGTATTTAAATGATCAAAAGAAGAAAAATTTTCGATCGGTAGTTATTAAACTGGATTACGAGCCGTCGTGTAAACGTGGTTTATACAAGTATGGTAAGATACTTGCCAGTCGGATAATGTCAGAAACGTCGAGAAAGAGAATTCAGGATTAGCTAACGGGGCAGAGAATGACCAGAGCTGTATTTAACACACTCGATAATAACGTATTCAATAAGAATACTCCTCGTAAACTAATGCAAAGCACGTGGGTGACGCGATGGACGCGACCCCTCCGTATGGTGATCGAACTACAAAAGTTGAATCGACGGCGTCGTGCGCGATTACGGCGCCGGCGATCGATATCACGTGACTCACGAGGGCCAATAAGAGGGCCGAGCTGGCACATGTGACCAGCGAGGGGACCGACAACCAATCCAGCTGCTCGAGTAAAGCGGGGAGCGCACACTTTGAACTGTCGCACACAAAATTGCATAGTTGCATATGCATAGCACAAGACCGTCTAGACCTTATGTACTTATGCAAAAGTGTGTGCTACCCGCTTGAGGCTCGGTTTCGCTAGTCCCAGTCTACAATAGAGATTTTAAACCCTAAGCCTTAAGAAATTGACTAATCACAGTCGTGTATTGTACTCATACTTGACCGTGATTGGCCAATCTCTTAAAGCTTAGGGCTTAAATCATCTATTGTAGACCGAGACCTAGAGTCCTATGTATTGATGTTATTTTTTGTATAATTTTGTAGAAACTATAATATAATTATTTAATAGGAAATCGATTATTATCATGTATGTATGTACACTAGGGCCGATAGAGTCAGATCTTGTATTCAAGATCGTTTTGAATTTCTAAAGTTGCTGTATGGAATATTTCACTGGCTACGGAATATCTAAAGATGATCTTAAGACGGTCTTGAATATAAGATCTGACTATGGCCGGTATTCATAGACAGATTTTATATTCAAGAGTGTCTCAAGATCATCTTTAGATACTCCATAGTCAATGAAATCCAAGATAGCACAAGACACTCCTATGAACATTTTACGAATATTCTTCAAGAATATTTGCAATATTCCACAGGCCATTTTTATATATTTACCTTATGTTCGTGGAACATTCGGCTGGCACTACTATAAATTTTCTTCGAATGTGAATAGAATAATCTATCGAATATATAGCGTGTCGGTTATACATGGTACAATCACCGATTTCACTGCCTTTTGCATAAGATAAGTGTATGACACAATAAACAATGTGCAATACATAAACTCGATGAATATTAAAAAATTATTCTGAACGAATATTCTAAAAACGTTCTTTGTTATAAATATACGATTTTTAATTGTAATAATCTATATATATTTATGGAATATTCTGAAATTAAGAATATTTGCACTCCAGAAGAATATTCATAGAACCATGTGCTATCTGGGATGTTCCATACAGCATCTTTAGATAAATTCAAAACGGTCTTGAATTATATAAGATCTGACTATGAATACCGACTTATGAATATCAGCCTAGGAATCACTAATGCCTTCCCACATGAATTTATACACATATCGACACATTTATACATTTTGCATATGCATACATGGAAAATGCGTATGGTTCTCCGTGTGCTTAACTTCATGCGGGAAGGCATCAGTGATTCCCAGGACGGTATTCATAGTCGCATCTTATATTCAAGGCTGTCTTAAGGTCATCTTTAGATACTCCGTAGCTAATGAAATGTTCCATACAACATCTTTAGAGATGTATACAAATTCAAGATGCAAGATAAATTCAAGACTGTCTTGTAAACGTAAGATCTGACTATGAATACCGGCCCTAGTGTACATGTTTCATCTTAACCGTATACACTTGCGAACTCGATTGTAAAACACATATCGTGACCGATATATTTCATATTTTGACCGATGTGACTAGCTGCAATGACTTCCGACATCAGACAACGACTTACGACATCTGTAGACCAGGTCGTGTTAAGAGACTAGCACGTTATATTATAGCGTACGCATTGATATTCCTTCGTCATTGTGTTGGAAGTAATCAATTCGATCAGCTAGCAAGAACACGACGCATTGCACATGCATACTACATGTCGCGCAAGCGACGTATACGCAAATGTCAGGGACACGCAAGCAATTAGCATGCACCCTCGACTCAAAAATATTCCTTTCTATTCTTTTTTCCTACCTCGTTCTCTAATAGATGAATTTCCATTTTCCTTTCCCTTTCCCGTTCGAAAATCTAACGCCTACACAATTATCCTGTTTTTCAAAACAGAAAGTGCGAGAAACGTCGAGGAATCTCAATTCAAACAATAAAGAATAAATTGGAGAAAAAGTTCTTAGCTATGCTATACCCTGTTTAAAATAACAGAATATCATCAGATTACATTAGTTTACATGCAATTTGATCACACTCTAATATCTCGAACAGGGTATTATCTTCCCAGCAAACACAAAGTAACAGTTACTAACTGTAAGTTAAAATTTCCTACTCAACAATATAACTGTTATATAACACGTACGTGTTATGTAACTGTTACTTTTGTGTTTGCTGGGTTAATTACACATTTCCCGTAGTCGAAACTAGTGTGAGAGAGGAAACAAGGAAATCAGAAACGTAGGAGGAATCGACGATAAACTCGAAACTTCCAGCAGGAAAGGGTTCCACTTTCCCTTTTTCTTTTCTTATTCGCAACGGCAATTTCGCGAATGTCGAGCCGTTTCGTGCGAATAATCCAATCGATAGACGAGTCATGGCACCGGGAGAAATATTGATCAAAGCAGCCGCTTGGCCGCTGACAGTGTGCGTCCGTGGCGATCGCGGGTAGTTATGTGCGGAGGAACGCTCGTCGCACGAGCGTCGCGCACCCGGAACTCGGCGAAGCTGGGCTTCCTGCTGCTGCTCCTCTCGATCGCACATCTGCCGTTGCTGCGACACGCCGATGCCAAGATACTCGAGGGCGAGCTGATAACAGACGAAGTAACCGCCAGGACGGGATCGATTTTATAAAAACATAAGATGGAATCGCGAGTCGTCCCCGCGGGGTTTCGATCCACGGCGCCGCGCGGCTCCTGCATGATCAATATTATAGCGCGACGTGTACGGGCAAAACGGAGTTTTCCACCTGCGGTCGGGAGCGATCTTGATTAAACGAGTGCGATTTTTTTAATGCGGATAAACGGGCGAGAATCGATGTTGAAGCAACAAGAAGGATGCAATCCTCATTTCTTTCTTCGTTATTCAAGTATTAGCAATTTAACGTTTCAATGTTTCTGTGAGTTATATAAATCTGATCGCAAGATTTCTAATATACATGTTTTATCAGAAAGATTCCCCGCTAGAATGCAGCGAGGGGAAAGATGTGGAAAATATTTCGATAATTATCGCGCGTGTTTATGCAATTGATATTGTCCCGCGTATTTTTACAATTAATGTGCTTTAGATACCGGCAACAATGCTGATCATTGCAGAAGCCGCTTTGCGCGGTGTTCGGTAAAGCAACGAGCTTTAATCATGCGTAAAATCGTTCGAAAAATAATAGGCGTTAATGCCAATAATATCGAGTAATGGTGATTTTTCAGAACTGGGCGTTCCTCGCGAGATTCTGTTTTTTAACGGAGAGTGGTACTTTTCGGTATCACTTCGAATTGGGGGGCGAGGAACGTAGTCTGAACGTCCTGCTGTACTACGATGGAGCGCACCAGTGGCCCACCGTCTATCCTTCCAACAAGACATGCTGGCAGAAGCAGAGTATCCTCAACATCGACTACGGTCAAATAATACCGTTGAACACGTCGCGGAGCTTGTTATCGGGATGCGTGGAGGGCGACAACGGCGTGGTGCAATGCGACAGCCAGAGGAGATTCATCTCGGCCCGACCGCGATGGTGGTTCATAGTTTTAGCCGACTGCGCTTCCAAGAAAGGCCTCAACGTCACGTACTGGATATCGCTGACCAACGCGCCGACCGGCGCATTCTGGAAGGAGCACTTCTCCGCGGACGAATTCTGCAAGTAATTTGACTTTCAATCGGCAGGTCACGAAGTAGCGTTCCTTAATCGCGGCCCGTTTCCGCTTTCCAGACATCCTGCCGCTGCTGATACCGACCGTCTGCATGTACATGATATTCGCCGTCCTGAGTTTCTACATAGCGCTGCAACTGCGCTCCAGGAGGCTGCTGCATATCTCCTACAAACTGTTCATGGCCTCCCTGCTCTGTCAATTATTGGGGGTGTCGTGCGAGCTTTACAGCTACGTCAATCTCGGCCTGAGAGGAGCGCCGGCGATGGACGCTTATCTGCTCGGCCTGCTCGCGGAGGCGTGCTCCGAGACCCTGTTCACAGTTCTCATGCTGCTGCTCGCCCTCGGTTACACGGTTACCAGAAGCGTCCTCACGTCGTCGCAGGTCCGATGGCTTGTGCTGTTTATCGGTTTCACCGCCCTTTTTCAATTGTCCCTGTTTGGCTACCAGTCCGAGGCATTCGATCCGGGGTTGGTGTTATACCTCTACGAGTCGCCGCCGGGCTACTGTTTAATCGCCCTTAAATTGATCGCCTGGTTCGTGTTCGTCACTCGCTGCTTCAAGACCATCCGAAAGTTACATACGAAGCTCCGCTTCTACTCTTCACTGCTCATCTTGGGATCGGTGTGGTTCCTCTTTCATCCAATAACGGTACGCCATATATGCCAAAAATGCTGATCTTGTTTAAAATAACCTTTGATCATAACGTATTCTACACACTCTGCAAAAACATCTCTCCTTCCTGTTTCTATAGATACTAATCAACACCATGTTCGTGGACGACTGGGTGAGAGAGAGCATGGCCAAAGCGAGTTCCATTTTCATCGTCTTCGTGGGTCACATAATGTTTTTATATGTAACTCGACCATCTGTGAACAATAAACGTTTTCCATTTCACATTAGGACGTTCCAGGTTGTGCCCATAGGTGGTCGCGGGCAGGATCACGGCTACGAGCCCGGCCCTCGAACGGCAGCTACCGCATTTACTATCTCACGGACACCAGCTTACTTCTAGTCAGTCACGACAAGTGTAGATAGATGAGGAAAACTAGCAAGTAGGAACGTGCAACCACTGGTGGAGTGCGCTAACTCGTCAAAGCGATTGTCGACGTGAAGCGATGGATGGCTATTGAAAAAAGGAAAAAGAAATTTTGTAATCAGTATATTTTTTTACTATACATGACGCGATGCAACGAACGTGCACGTATGCGCGTTGTACCTATCGAGGTGGAAATCCCAATTCAGATAGAATGTTACGAATTAAATAATACTGAATTGCCATTGGCAAGCGCTTAGTATGTAAGTAGTTTCGAACCTATACGACTTTTCTCTTATCTCACAAAGATATTCGTAATAAAGCGCATGATGCAATTTCACATTCTCGCCTCTCATTTTTATAGTAAACAGACTTATCCTATGATGAGATTTTTCAAAAACGACCTACACTGGCCAATGTTTTTATTCAAAAAACAAACGACGTTTCGGCCCCGGATTTGGACCCTCTTCATGTAATCTGTTCACACAATTGTTACTGATCTCATGTCGTTCATTTGGCCAATATCGTTATGTCAATAAGATATTAGTAAAAAAATTATCGCACTCTTTGGTTGAAGAGTGCAGAGTCGATTGAAGTTGCATTATTACTTGTAAAACACAAGTAAAAGGATCGAGAGATGTGTTAGACGAGATGTCGGGTTGAACTGACGAGTGACAAATACAGTTACCAAGAGACATGCGCTGGACAGGAGAGATCAAGTTGAACGAAACGTCGTTTGTTTTTTAAATAAAAACATTGGCCAGTGCAGGCAGTTTTTGAAAAACTACATATCATTGGTTTCATACTACTGGCGATATTAAATCTATTTGTGAGACTTATCCTACTTTCCCAGAAAGTAAACAGAATGTGGAAAGCATTTTAAGTATCGCTGTTAATTTCCATTTTGACGTTTCCTTATGTGTACATCGCACCGACGATTCCGAGAGCGATAGGCCGTTCAATGAAAGAGCCCACAATAATTATTTACACGATAATTCGTATTGTATTCAGGTCCCATTGTACATTCAAACGACTATTATTGCTATCTGTCAATCGCAAGAACCGTCCAGCCAGCCGTCTCTCCACCTCTGATTAACTAGCTTGCAGTCAAATTCCGGCTTGCCGAGCTTCTTGTTTACCCCGTTGTGTATTCTGCACAGCCACTGGCTCAACTTCTCCTGCGACCCGGTCTCCGGCGGCAAGTGTTTCAACTGCTCCTGCAGGTCCTCCGCGCACACGTTGCACGGATAGAATTTAGAAAACGTGTGAAAAAAGCTGTTCATGTCGACCTTCTGCCTCTCGCTCGGCTTGTCGGGATAGTACGCCGCCATGGTGTGCAGGAAGGCCCAGGTCTTGGAGCCCAGCTCATCCTTGTCCAGAGGACAGTCCTGCCGAGTGCCGCTGTTCCCGGCAATCGGCGTTTGATCCTGCTTCTTCTGCACCCCCTGAGAGAAAACGCAGTGCGTAAGACCGCAATCGTCGCGACGCAAATTCTACAGCGACGAGAATGAGGAACAGTCGTCGCGCAGGAAACGTAGTTCTATAAGATTAGTCATCGTAATGGACTTCCCTTGCGAAACAGCAATCAAAAGCGGGGAAGGACCGTCGCGCGGGAGTCTGACGAAACGAGACCCGACACTTGAGCGATACGCGACGACGAGACTCGCGTCGATAAGCAGCCCGGCTCACCTTCTCCGAGTCGTAGACCTCCTTCTGGCGTTTCGCCCACGTGCGGAAGTCCACGCAGGCGCGACACGGCTTCTCCTGCGACATCCTCTCCGCGCCTCGGGCCCGTGAAGATCCTCAAGTGTCACCGCCGGCAAGTTAACGTAGCTCGCACGTGCGACATAACCTCTCGCGCCGCTCGCGAGACGAAGGCCGGCGACGTCCGTGAGCGCTTGTCCCTACGCTCGCGCGTGTCAATCGCGCATTATGCGATCGAAGCGAAGCGAACGTGCGGCAGCATGGTGAGAGACATGTCTTCAAAATACTGGAATTTTTGCACGGCTGCCGCAGCGGACGACCCGCTCCATGACGTAACCTAACTTGGCCCAACCTGACCCGAGGCGGCATAGCGGGTGGCGCGTTGGCGCAGGAGAATATCGCATCGATAGCGATTGATAGCGATTCTATAATTCTATTCGCGCCGAGGACCCGGCGAAGCTGCGTGTCGCGCCCGACAATGTCCTTTATTTTGTAGACTGTACTCTCGTTAGCGGGACGCATCGTTCGATTGTATCATTTCTCTGGATCATTTCAATTCGTGTGCCGCGACCAAATCAGTCCTGTCGCAATACACGCGGCTATTTTTATTTTATTTACGGACAACAAACTGTTTGTTAAAACGACACCTAGTAATGCTCGCCTACTGTTGGCCCTTTCTTGTTATTAGCAAGTGCAATGCCCATTGGTTTTAGTTTTTACTAGCAGCGACTCTTTCAGTTACCGGCGCCCACAGGCGGCCCAGGCCGACCGCATTGGCGCGTTCTCGCGCGCCACATTGTATGCTCGTGCAATTTCTCGGAGGATTACGACGGGCATCGTTCGAGCGTCGAGGTAACGCGCGTCCATCAACCGGCACGTTTCGGATGAAAATAATAGCGCTCGAGCGTCCCACGTGGATAAGTACGCCTCGACGATATTTCCCGGTGCCGTGCAAGCGCTGCCACGAACGGCCAGGAGCATTTCGTTCGCTCTGATCGCGGAGGGTGAGGGACCTAACCTCGACGAGCCACGGCCACGTGAGCCGATCTCTGTCGGAGAACTTGCTCGAATCTTTAACATATTCTGAAAGCACGTTCCTCTTTTTTTTTCCAGGGAGTAAATATACACGAGGTAGAGAGGAATAAAGCGCGAGGATGTCAGGAGCGTTTCTGATACTTGCTGGACGAAGATCAACGTGTAGCTGGTACGCAACAGTGATACATGTTGCTCCGTTAGACTCGCATTCCTCGGTTTTATTTGTATTGCGGATTCGTTGCCTGGCGATCGCTCGAATAGATTTAGTTTCGCTCTTTATGCAGTAGCAGTTGGTGTAAAGCTTGAAAATGGAATTTGCAATACTCCCAGACAACATGCATGTCTAAACGACGTCTTAAAAACGTCTTACAAGAGACGTCTTTAAGATTTTACTGAAAGACGTCCGTAAGACGTCAGAAAAACGTTCTTATGACGTCTTATAAAGATGTCTTTAAGTCTTAAACATAAAATATATATATTCTTTTATAGTAAGTCAAATTTAATGTTCCATGATTGTGACGATTCAGTTGTGTGGTTTGTGATTTGCAAGTGCTCAAATTTTATGTCAGGAAGTTTGAAATAGCTGCTGTTCTGAAACAGGTTTATCCTAAAAACACAAAAATTAAGAACGTCAGATATGTCTATAATTACACGTCTCAAAGACGTTTTAGAATTGTTTTGAAGATGTCTTAAACATCTTTAAAATGTATTTAAGACATTTCTAAAACACGTCTTTAAGACAAGTCTAAAAGACGTTGGAAATTGGGACATAAGACGTCTCAAAGACGTCAAAAAGATGTCTCTGAAAATTTTGTGAGACGTCTAACAGATGTCTTTAAGACGACACAATGTTGTCTGGGAATTAATTTAAGTCGCGATGAATCGCCCACGTTGTTTATGCAAGAGAATAAACGAGCAATTTTATTACAGGCTTCAGCAGGGATGTCGCGTGGCGTATTTGTATAAAAATGCGACCAAAGACTTGCGTGCGCATAGCGTGGCGCGGTACTGCGTTTCTGTGAACGGCCAAGATAAACCTTTGTCTCAGGTACGTATAAAGGCGTTAACTGTTAAGTACTTTACAAAGAATCTTTCTGAATAAGAGACTACTTTGCCATTTCAATATTGCAGGGAAAGGAATATAAAGATGTGGAAAACAAAAGTTTACACGTTAGATTGAAAGAATTAGCAGAGGTAAGCAGTTTGTACTGAATCGTATGTGAATATTACAAGTTTGAATAAAATTTCGATTATTAAATACGACAACAATTTTAACAGCAAAATCCATTTGGAGGAAAGCACGTTAAGGGTCTGAGGATTAATAGAGAAGCCATAATCCAAAAAAGTATGTATAAATCAGTTTTGAAATATTACAGGATGATTTAGAATCTAGCGAATAGAAACCGAGTTAAAAATAATTTATTATCTCAAATACAAACTTACCGTGTATTTACTTATTAACTCGAGTATAACTTGAGAAATAAATTTGTTTATGCAATTATAATATACCGCACAATTTATATCTAGTTCATTTTATCAATTTGTATATAATAAAATTACCAAAAATTGCAGGAGTGGAACGTTTGTACCCGCAAGCAAAGTCTTCTTTGTTATCTATTTATGCAGTAGTAGGTCATGAACTCGGTGATCCAGCAGTTTTAACTTCAAGTGTTAAGAACATTACTGCAAATAAAACTAAGCGATGGGAAGTTGCCTTTAATGTTAGATGGCCAGAAGTTATGTCCTTTAAAGAAACTGGTAAAACCAAAGCACTCGCTTCGAAAAATGCAGCTATGAAATGCTTGCAGTGGTTAGAGATGAACAACAAATTGAACAACGGCAAACCGATTGTTTATGATAAGGAGGTAATGAGGGACATGCAACATAAGCCCGTTGAATTAAATGTCACTCCTGAAATGTTAAACAGTATGTCAGACTTGATCAAGACTTACGACACGGTAAGATGCTGCATTACAATTTTTAACGTAACAGTATCTCATTGGTATATTCAACATTTGTTTTAATGTGTGCGATGTATTCAGGAAATACGGAGTCTAGCATTACAGCAAAGGTCTTTCAGCACTCCTCGGGTACTGCATCAGACTAGGACTGACGTCCATCCAATACTTGGACCAAATACTCACACGGACACCTTCCATCGTAATGAACTATTGAAAGGAAGATTACTGGAAAGATCTATCGATGACGCCGTCACTTTACCGATCCACGAGTTTAAGTATGAAAGATTCCTGTTTCGCATTTACATTGTACGCATATAACGTGCTTCGTTAGTGTCAAAGTGTACGTTATTTATTTTACAGAGATGAAATTCTCTCCAAGCTTGAGAGCAATCGAGTTCTATTGGTAGAAGGCGACACCGGTTGTGGCAAAACTACGCAAGTTCCTCAATTTATATTCGACACTTTCGCGGGTAACGGGAATGCCACAGATTGCAATATATTGATATCACAGCCACGTAGAATCTCGGCGATCTCTCTGGCGGATCGCATCGCATACGAAAGAGCGGAGAACGTCGGGGACGTTGTGGGTTTTCATGTGAGATTAGAACATCTGCTGCCGGAGCAACTCGGCACGATGGTTTTTTGCACCACCGGTATACTGTTGAGAAAATTGCAGAGCAATCCCGGTCTGGTGGGGTGCTCGCACGTCATTTTGGACGAGGCGCACGAGCGCCAGATCGACACCGACATGCTCATGATTCTGCTCAAGAGAGCCCTGAAGAAAAATCCTAATTTAAAAGTGCTGATAATGTCGGCGACTATAAATACGCACATGTTTCAACAGTATTTCGATTGTCCCGCTGTACGAGTACCAGGTAGACTGTACTCTGTAAAGATGCATTTTCTGGAAGATATCGAGCACCTTCCGAATATCCACAAGTACAGAACATATGTGAACTCGAGTCGTCACGAGGACGAAGAATCTGACAAGCTTTCAGTTGATTTTGGGAAAATGGTACAGCTTATAAAATGGATTTCTATGCATAAGCCGCCCGGCGCTATTTTGTGTTTCTTGCCAGGGTGGCATGAAATCACGAAGGTGCAGAGTATGCTCGAGGATACGTCATCCTACACCCAAAAGCATTTGATTTTGCCGATGCACTCTAAAGTGTCGCACAACGAACAGCGCAAAATCTTCAAACATACCCCGGAGGGTGTGCGGAAAATTATCTTGGCCACGGACATTGCTGAAACAGGCATTACGGTCAGCGACGTGGTTTACGTTGTAGATTCCGCCATACGAAAGGAATCGCGATGGAACGATAACAAAGATTTACCTTGCATAAGCAACCGCTGGGTCTCTCGGGCAAACGTTTTACAGAGGTAATTAAACATGTTGCACTGTTATAAAATTAATATTCTAATTTGAGGAAAGAAGCATAAATATAAAAAAATGCATTTAAATACTGCTTAAAAAATAGTTTTCATTAAGATAATAATTCACTTGTTATGCAGAAAAGGGAGGGCTGGACGAGTTAAACCTGGCGAAAGTTATCACTTAATTTCCAAAAAAGAATATGAGAAATTAGAGGCGCATCCAGTACCGCAGTTGTTATGCAATCCGTTGGAGAAAGTAATTCTTGACAGTAAAACATATACCGACGAGAAGGCAGAGCAATTTCTGGGTGGATTTTTGGAACCGCCCACATCAGCTGCAATACAGAAGGCACTGAGGTACTTGGTAAATCTCGGAGCTATGGACAATGAGGAGAATCTTACGGCTCTAGGCAAACGAATAGCGCATTTCACAACATATCCTAAGTTTAGTAAAGCCATGGTATATTCTTCAATCTTCAAGTAAGTTTAAGCAGTAATTTGGACATTAATTTCAATCAGTCGTCTTCCGATTATTTTTCCTGTATTATATTTTCGTTTTCCCAATACAACAGCTGTGTGCATCCTGTGGTAACAATAGCCAGTGTTTTCTCTAACGAGGACTCTCTTTTTTACGATGTACTGAATAAAAAGTCTGAGATCAGGGAAAATAAAAGATTGTTCCACCCATCCAGCGACCATATGGCGATGGCTTGGTTGTTCAAGCAATGGTACACACATAATGAAACAAGTCCGCACTTAATATTGTCATTTTGTAGAAAGATGAATCTCCGACCGCTCAAAATACAAATACTGAGTCGTAAGTAATATTAATATTGTACATTATAAGTTACTACTATATGTGCATATTCAGTCAAATTCTCCTTTCTATCGATTGACCTTTTTTTTAAACTACATCGTAATTTTGCAGAGATACGAAATACATTTATCCAGCAGTTGACCGAATGCCGCCTGTTGGACAAAGACATGTTGTATTACGATTATAGTAAATCTAACGTCGAAGCAAATAAATTTGAAAATTGCGACGAGCTGGTGCAAGCTGTATTGTATTCTGCTACGCAGCAATTTATAGAACATCAAGATATGGGGTTTAAGAACGGAATTGTGAGGAAGGGCGTTAACAAACTTCAAACACAGTAAGCGAATTTTGCGTAATCGCGGACTCAAATTTAGAGGCAATTTATAGTAATTTCATTTATAATCTCATTCTAACAGAGGTCGTGCTACGGCTGTAATTTCGGGGGAAAGTGTCAATTACAAGCGAAAAGTTTGGCCGAGTTCTTTCTTGACGTATTTTAATGCTGCTCACTGCGAGATGAGACGTAGCACGGTAATTCGTGAAACAAGCATGATATCACCTTTGACGGTATTACTTTTTAGTCAACAAAGGATTCAATATCACGAGGTAATACATAATTAAATCTTCTAATTGAACGCAACTGTGGCGAAGTGAACAACATTACATAATTTATAACACATTTCACGGTTTTTAGTTGGATGATAACAGAACAGAAATTGAGATCAATGTTAATGCGCGACACACTTTAAGATTTGCTTGTGATAACGAGTGAGTATTTTTAACTTTCTTTTCTTTAATATCTAATAATCCGCTTAAAATCTTTGCCTTTTTTCCCATAGAACTGCTGATGTACTCTTGAAATTCAGAGACATTACGTGGACTCTTGTGCAGTACTTATTGGAGACTCAAGGAGTCTCCGAACATAGAAATAATTTTAATTCAAAACAAATAATTGAGTACAAAGAGAGAGTATTCCAAACTCTTGCAGAGCTCTTGCACATGTCAGCTGCACCTATAGAAAATATTGAAAAAGCCAAAAGAATTTCTGTAGATTAAATATGTATAATAGGACGAATTTACATAATAATGATTTTGACACTGTAACACTATTTCGGTCGACATAGCGTTGCTTGTGATTTATTCTTATTGTTAAGTACCTGTTGTATATATACATATTGTATATAAGTGTGTTTGAAACAATACCTATGAGTATAGATCGACAGCTTTACGTATATATATTTAACAGAGTCTAAACAATAAATAATCAACTATTTGAATAATAAAGAACTAATTCTTTCTCGACAAAAATTACTCCTCTCCTCCATTTCTTGTTGCATGCTTGGTTTTTCACGTTCAATCTACGAGAAACATTGAAATTACCGAAACTGTTGAGTTTTCGAGAAGAGAAGCTTTAGGAGAACATAACTAAAGGCGAGGAAAGTCATTAATTGAAATTTTAAACATTACAATTGTAAATAAAAAACTGGGTGTTAATGTTACAAGTAATTATACATGATCGAATTTTGTATAACGGAAAGAATGTGGATTAAATATGTTTGCAGGAGTAACGCACGCATTAAATACTGCACTTTTGTCGTTAAGTTTTTTTTTATAAAATAGTAAGAATTTGTTACATATATATGTACAATCACAATGTGATGCTTGTCGTAACTAGGACAACGTCGCTTCAATTAAATACTACGAGACGTTCAACAATGTTTTGTTACGCTATAAAAAAGTCACAATTATCATTTGATATGTTAAAAGACATGTAGCTCTCAAATCGCTTCGATAATATATATTTCGTGCGAAGCGCTCTTGACGCACCCGAAACCTACCGACACCAACTCGCGCCGTAGTGGCCGAGTAATTATAAAAATTTGTTCCCATAATCTTTTATGCTACATTACGATCGTTTTTGGGGGGGGGGGAGGGGGGCATTTGAACAAGGTACAAGACCCGATTCGAAAATTTGGATTCAATACTTTCAATACTTAATAAATTTAAGAGCAATATTATTAATAATTTAGTAAATATCGTATAATTTAACTGAATTAGGTAAGTCATAACGTAATATGTATTGTCATGAATATCGTTTTCATTAAATTTCAATGATTGTTAACACGATAAATTGGCGCAGACCTTTCGATCGACACGATAAATTGACGCGGAATATTAATAAAATATAAATGAATATAACATACATGTATCTCTTGTTCATGTGCTCGCGAAAATATTTACGATCATAACGGCATATATACATTCGTGTATTACATTACTTCAGTTAACATTCCATAAAATATATGTATGTTAAAACAGAATATCGTAAAATCATATTAAATAGTATATGTAAATGCAATTAACGGTCATATATTAAGTCTATCTTGAATATTTACATTTGGCAGGTACATGGAAGCGTGCGCTTCTAATGCTACAACAATTCTAAACAGAGCAGATAGAAATATATTAATTTAAGTTATTAAATATTAAATAGAAAATTTTTGCAAACAAAATAACTAATAACGTGGAAAAATATATTATTTCGCTTTTATGTAAATCACTTGCATTACTAGCGATAAATAAATCTTAAATACGATGATTATCATGAAATAAAATTTACGAAGATAAGTTCGCAAATTGTGTTGCATAATACACGCAACTTTTGTATTAATGTTATATGTTGTCTTGTTCCAGCCTGTATATTAAATTAATTGACTATATTAAGAGACAGTGAAAATATTCCAGTCCATGCTGGAAATTATTTCTTAATAACTGCAGCAATTATCTAAAATAATTTTGATAGCAATTGAAAATACGAGAAAAGGGGAGTAGAAACAATAACAATAGTTATCATAGCATCTGTAGTAATATCAGAAAAGTGTATAAAATATTAATACCTTTTTGGCAAGATATCATTACTCTTGACTTATTTACACATAAATTATTCTCCCGTGATTAACTTTTCCAAACAAGTAAATCTTTACAAACGGTAAAATGGTTATAAACATCTCCTAGAAAAACGATGTTAAAATCATTCGTAATAAAACAACAATATCTTATATAAATAATTAATTAAGTATTTTACCTTCGTGTTGTCGTACTCTTGCAGCAACAATCATTGCGTTTTCTGTGAATATTCATTGTCATAATAATTCTAAATTTATCGTACCTATTTACTTAACGTATGATTTGTGCAGTTTTTTTTAATTATTATAGACTAATATTGCACTTCCGGCCGATGATGCGTCCCGCATATCGTTTCGATTGCAGCAACTACGATGATTTCGATCTAAACGCAGTCGATCAAGAAACATGTATAAGCGTTTTCATCGTTATCTATGATAAAAACATTATCACTTTTTCCATGAAATTATTCTACAAGTCTTGTGTAACACATTAATTAATCAAAAGTAATAAATATAAACAAATTCATAAATATATGTATGCAATTCGTAAAAAACCTATTTTACGGAATGAGCAACTATTGAAAAAGTCTCTTTCATATAGTACACATTTTTCTTTAAGGATGTATTGGACGTACAATCTTAGACAAAAGAGTATGAAATTGGAAATACTTAAATATCTACTCTTAACACATAGTAAATCTAGATGTAAGAAGCTTGAACGATAGTTGGAGTCTTATTTGTACTCCTACAAAGGTATTTTTCACTTTACAAATGTTTTTTCCTGAATTATTTGCGATTTTTTTCACTTATGAGCCTAAACTTTTGATAGTGAAAATACTCTGATTTCAATTCTTAATAACGTCAAATATTTTCAAAACTAAAAAATTCGTGCCGACAGCACGAATATCTCAAGTTATATTTTATTATAATATATTTTATTTCTTTAAAACGGTGCAGTAAAGACTATTGAAACT